TGACCTAGAAGGTGACTTAAACAAGTTTTGTAAAACAGATCTCTGAATCTGATGGCTTTGCTCAGTCCTGCAGCAACAAAGAGAGAAGTTATAACCAATAGCTAATAATCAGGGAATGCAACTCCAAACAGGCCATGGGAACTCTGCTGTAGGTAGATCCAGGTGATCCTGGTGATCTTGGTAGATCCACCAGGCAAATCCTGGTGAGGGACACAGCAGAAGCACCGGAGAACCAAGGTCATCCTAACCAACATCAGCAGAGCTAACCCAAGGATAGACCAAGTTTGCTGTGGAATCTAGAGTCGTGGGACATACCCAGAAGCCAAAGGGAGGCATCTTTCTTCCCTGCTGGAGATGAGTAGGTGTTTAAGGACAGACTGGATGTGGTACTTACTGCCATGGTCTAGCTGACATGGTGGTGTTGCACGTGATGATCTCAGAGGTCTTTTCCAACCTGGCTGATTCTGTGAGTATCTTTAAGTAGAGATGCATCACCACAAAATACCTGTTGTCGCACTCCAGTACCAAATACTTGCAATAAAGTTGTTGGATGTGGTGCTGCAAACAGACTTTCTAGCCTGACCCCTCCCTACACTGAAAGTACAACAAACCAAGTTAAAACTGCTGCTGTGAAAGGCAGAAATTGGATTTACACCATTTCCTTGAAAACAGCTACTGCTCTGTGCTGTGTAACACACAGATAGGCTCAGGGATGTTTGTCATTGTGGTTTAAAGCACAGCCAAAGAAAACTCTCCAAATCCCAAATAACACAAGCTGACATGAATTCATGACATGCAAAGGGAAGAGACATGAAGGGCAGAGAAATTTCTTTGTCAGGATTTGGCATTACACACCATTAACAGTAATAATAAATGAGTAAAATATGCAAAATATCCCTGGAATTGTTCAAGGCCAGATTGAATGGGGCTTGGAGAAACCTGGTCTAGTGCAAGGTGTGGAATGAGATAGTCTTTAAGGTCCCTTCCAACCCAACCCAAGGTGAAATGCCACAGGAAGAACACTTTACTTCCATGACTTACCTGTCATCCTCCTCCTTAGCTCATGCCTGGTATTGCAACACAATGCTCCAGAGGCAAATGAGGCTTTTTGTGTTGGGTTTATTTGCTGAGCTGTGTCATGGCATTGTTTTCTTTCAAAGCAATATTATATTACAGAACAAATGCTGGGAAAGCCAAAGAAAATATTCTGTGGTTTATTTGTAGTACAAATGTTCTTGCTCTGAGTAAATACTGAGCTTCCTGAGACTCCAGCAACTCCCTCTGAAGTTCAACAGGTTAGTGTTGCTAACAGGCTCTGCCCATCATTTTCAGGCTTTTTGTTGGGCTTTAACTGTATCTTTCCAGTAAAGATCAACTTTGGGATAGATATGGAATAACAGCAGCAACAAAGACAACTGGACAAAAGGACACATGTGGAAATAGTCAGGAATATTCCCTTTTGCAGACTCTATCACCTCCTGATTTCATACACTGCTTTTGTAACATGTATTACTTCTCCAGAAGAAGTGCATGAGAAAGGCACTTTTTTTTAAGGTCAGATAATTGTGAAAGAGGATGACAGACTCAGACACAGCAGATCCTGGTTGGTCAATAGCTGGAGCCTTTCAAATCTGATCCAAAGACTGGATATCTCTCCAGTGCAATCCTCCCTCTCCAGTTTTCCAAGTTCCATAGGAACAAGCAACATCAGGCAGGTTCCTTGAAACCAGTTTCCAGGTTAGCTTTTCTAAACCACCTGATTTTTCCAGCAGAAAAGTTCAGGACAAACAAGAATTTCACTGAAGTCCTCAGAAATCCTGTTGAATTATTTAGGGACCTTCTTTAAAAAAATTAAAAAATAAAAACCCCAACAAATAAGCCAAAACCAGCTAGTAGAGATTTGACTGTTTTCACTTGAAAAATCCATTCCACATTTTCTTTTCATTTCTGGCCTGGCATTTCACTTCCACTTGATTTAGAATTTCTCCTTAGCATTATCTTGCCGGTGCAGTTGCTGGATGAGCGCGTCCCGTTCCCAGGCAGCTCAGCACGGCTCCCCAGAAGGCTATAGGTGATGGAGGATGTATTTGTAGCTCTGCCTGGAGCAGTGTAATAGAGCAAAACCCATCTTTGGTGATAGAAATGTAACAGCAGCCTCATGGGAGATGATCCTTCCAGCATGAAAGCAGCTGGATACTCACTTCCATGATCTCCATAGCCTGTTGTTTGCTCTGTGTTTTATTGCTGTGGACAGCAATCAGCAGGGAACAAGTCTCAAGAGGAGCAGCTGAGGGAGCTCAGCCTGGAGAAAAGGAGGCTCAGAGTGACCTTAT